CATCTTAGCCAATACTTAGTATTTCATTGTTTATTTTTATTTATATTTTCATAACTAGGAAGCTTGGAAATTTTTCCATATTTCTGCTCATTTTAGCTTCTTTTATATGATTTTCTGCCTGTTTTGCTCCAGGGTAATTGTCTTATATATTCTAATTCTCTCTTGGCTACGTGCACTGAAAATATCTTCTCCCACCAGCCTATATATATAGCATATCCTCTCACACTGTTGTCTTTGGTTAGAATGAAGTTTTAAATTTTAATGCAGTCGAATTTAGCGATCCTTTAATGAGTTTTGTCTCTTAAAAACTCCTTTCTCATCCTTAGAACATAAATATATTCTATATTTCTTCTAAAGCTTTAAAGGTTTGCTTTCATAATTAGGTCTTTAACTGGCAGTTATATTTAGTTATGGTATGAGATAGAAATCTAATCTTACTTTGTTTTTTTCATATATATAACCAGTTCTCTCTTTTCCATTTCCCTGCCACTAATCTGTAATGCCCTTACTGTTGTATACCAAATTTCCATATATGCATGGGTCTGTTTCTGGAAGTTCTACTCTATTCCATTAGGCACTTAATCAATCCCTGTCCTAAGACTGTATTTGATATCAGGAAGACTACCATCTTAGCATCCTTCAAAATTATCTCAGATATTCTTGGCACTTTGTTGTTCCATATGCATTTTTAAGTTAAAAAAAAAAAAACCTGTTGGTATTTTGATTAAAACGGAACTAAATTTATAGCCTAATTTGGAAAGAACTGACTTCTTTATGATACTGAGTTTTCTCCTTGAGAGAAGATATGTGTTTGTTTTTGCAAGTACCTGGCAGTACTATCAACTTGGATGCAATTTTGAATTACTGGCTAGATGGTTCTGAACCATATAGTAGTGTGAATTTGAGCCCCATACACACATGAAGGCTGACCTGTGGTTAGAAATTTGCTGAGGAGATTTTGTGACATTCCTCTACCAAGGTCATAGTCTACATGAACAGGGTGGTATATTTCTATATCACTCTTATGCTGTAAGTAGAGCCCTGGGAGTCCTAGCCTTATGCAGGGTTTTCCACTAGATTCCTCATCTTGAACTGGCCATAGAATTAACTCTCCTATTCACTGTACATACATATCCTTATGCATATCAAAACGGAAGATCAAAGGGGTGCTTGAGTGGCTCAGTCGGTTAAGCCTCCGACTTCAGTTCAAGTCATGATCTCACAGTTCGTGGGTTCAAGCCCCACGTCCCGCGTCTGGCTCTGTGCTCACAGCTCACTTGGAGCCTGGAGCCTGCTTCAGATTCTGTGTCTCCCTCTCTCTCTGACCATCCCCTGCTGATGCTGTCTTTCTCTCTCTCTCTCAGAAATAAATTTTTAAAATATTTTAAAAAATAATTTAAAAAAATTTTTAATTAAAAAAAAAAAAACACCAAAAAACACAGAAGATCAAGGTCACTAGCATTTGGCAAATGCCTCCAGGGTAAAAGCCAGCTGAATACCAGTTTACTTCTTCGCATTCCTGCTGCTTTTTCATTTTTGGCCCCAGGATTCCTTTCTTTCTTATCAGCTCAACTATACATTAAAAAAAAAAACAACCAAAAAACAAAAAAACCCCCAACATTTTAAATACATCTTATTCTGCATTTCTATTTCTAGTAGAAACGTTGTTGAAGATATTTTAAAATCTTCTATAGCCTAATTTTTATCTACTTGATTTACTAGTTTGGGATGGAAGTGTATTAAAGTCTTTCACTATGATTATAGACTTGTAATTCCTTATCTGTTTTGTTTTTGTGTTTTTGTTTTGTTTGTTGAAATACACAAATTTTAAATTCTATACAAGTTCATAACTATATGCTCTTAGTTGATTTTTCCTTTTATCAATATGTCTTATTGTACTTCATCCTTATTAAAGCTTTTGGTCTTCCATCTGTCCAATAATGATAATCTATATTATATTAGTTTTCTTTTCCCATTTCTGGGCAACTATTTTTTAGTATCTCTATAAAGAGTATATAGAAAATTTCAGTTTTTATTCAAAATTGTGGTATCTGTGTCTTTTAATAAAGAAGATCAATCCATTTATACTTCCTGTGATCTACTCCTATATTTGGAACGAAATATACTTCTTGTTTTCTACTTATCATCCATTTGCTTGCTTGCTTTATTTATTTAGTTTTATAAAACTTTCCTGTTTTCTGTTAAACTAATCAAGTTTTCATTATTTCCTTCCCCCCACTTCTGATTTGGAATCTGTACACTGTATGTCTACTATTTTAGGTACCATTAAGTTTCTTTTTCATTGCATATATTTAACTATACACTGTTCTGAAAGAGTCTGAACCTGACATGAGCCTTACCGTATTACACACAATCTATTTGTTGTTACTATCCAAAGCTACACTGACCAGTTTGGTAGCCATTAGCCACCATATGGCTTTTGAGTCCTTGAAACGTGGCCAGTCTGAATTGGGATGAGCATTATTTTCCCTTAGTATTTACGATACTACTTCATAATCTCCTAGCATCAACTGTTGCTGCTGAGAAACCTTCTGTTATAACCCTGAATTATACCTCTATACATAATCTGGCTTCTAACTTCGGTGGCTTTTAAGATTTTGTCTTTATCTTTGATACTCTATACTTTATCTTTGATACAACTTGTTTCAGTGTAGATTTATCTTTATTTAACCTCTGTGACATTCTAGAGCTTACTTTTGATCCAAGGATTCAGGACCTTCTTTAATACTAAAAATTCTCTCCCTTTGTGCCTTCTAAAATTAGTTCTCCACCAATCTCTGCATGTTCTTTTTCTATAACTCTTATTATACATATATTGGAGTCTCTCAGTACTCTATGTCTTTTAAATATGTCAGTATTTCCCAACCCATTAATTCTCTCATCAATGATGTAAAGGATAAAATTTACCCCATCTTGAGTTTTTTATATACTAACTATATTTTTTATTTCTAAGAGTTGTAGTTGGTTTTTTCCCCACATTAACCTGTTCTTGTTTCATCTCTTTTGTTTCATAACTTTGAGTTCTCTTTAAATGGAAAGTATTCCTTATTTCTTTGAGCATCCTAAAAATGCTTTAAAGTTTCTCCCAATCAATGGAATACTATGCAGCCGTTAAAAAGAATAAGATCACCCCATGGCTACTAACATGGAATGATCTCTAAATATGTTATTAAATGGAAAAGCCAAGGTATTTAATAGTGCGTGTAGTATGCTACCATTTATATAAAAATGTATGTATGTACGTGTGTGTGTGTGTGTACGCTTGTACATGCATAGACTACCTCAAAAATGATAGCAAGAAATTGGTAATAGTGGTTGCCTCTGGGGAGGAGAACTGGGTGGCTAGGGGACAGAGGTGGGAGACAGACTTACTTTTCACTGTTTACCCTTTTGTACCTTTGAATTTTGTACCACGTGCATGTATTACCTAGTCAAAAAAAAATAAATAATTTATTTTTAAAAATAAAGTCTTTGTTGGACTACTCCATAAAATTAACTTCATCCAGAAAAAAATGCTTGTTTTAGTTGCTGATTTTATATATTAGATGTCTTCATGAGTTTTGGAATTTCGGTTATAGGCTCATTTTGAGTAAGAAAGGTTTTAAGAAAGGTTTTTAATTACTTTTTTCTTCTCCTATTTAATGGTTTTATACTTGCCCCCATTTTAATTTCTGAACCCCTAATCCACAATTAGGCCATATAATGACATTAAGGCCTTTAGTTTCCTGATTATATTGGAGCTATCACATATATACATTCAATCACTGACTCAGTAATGGCTTCATTTAATTCCTGGCCAGGAGGATGTATCTTAATCAGGCAAAACCCATAGCCTCAGGTACTGAATAGCTTTTTTCCTTTTTTTCAGCCTTTTACAAATGGGACAAGCATTCAGCCTCTCACAAATGGCACAAGCATTCTAGTCAAACGGCTGGCTTTGTGCAGTAATTCTGGCTCTGGTTCCTATATCACATGAAGCACTTGAGTACTTCACATTCTTGACAGGAACTAAAACTACTACACATAAGTACCAGTACTGAAAACCCAGTGGGCTTGCAGTTTCAGACCTATTAACAGCTTGTGTCTATGTTCCATTTCTGGTCCACGAAAATGTTTATGTTGTTTCAGAGCCTGGCTGTATCTTTTGTGCTCTTTAATCTATTGCTCTATGTGTTTGGAGGATAGAGTTTACATCAAAATTCAGTATGTCACTGTGACTAGAAGTAATTTCCACATTTTTTTTGAACATTAACAGTAATCATTATAAAAGGAGTATAATATTATACATAATGTTTAGAAAACAGAAAATTACTCATTATCCACTCATTCTAACCCATCTTATGTTAACACTGAAAAATATTTCCTTATCTTCTGTATGTCATATTTGTAAACAATTTTAATCATGATTTTTACCTATATTGTCCCATGCATTTGCCCATGTTGATATGTAGTCCCTATGACCATCATTTTAATGACTGCATATTAATCCACCAAGCTGTTCAACTGTTATTTACTTCCCACATTATTGAAAATATAAGGAGCTTCCAACATGGTTTTATAAAGAAGTTTCTCTGAGTAGATGTGGTTTTTTTTTTTCCCTTCAATAGTTCGGAATGGGGAGGGGGTAGGTGAGAGAGGCTAAGCAATGGGATTGCCATAATTCTACACAGATCATTAGCCCAAAGACATTGCAAGACTATTGTAATACATGGCTGAGGTTCATAACGACAACCCTAGTATATGAAGATAAAAGATAAAATCACACGGAAGTGAAAAATGAATTTCAGAAAAATTCGAATCCAAAATGATTAATAAGTTTTATAATTAAAGGGATAAGTTTCACAAGGGATAAAATTCACAGTTCACAAATGCTTATCATCTAGCACTGCTGGGTAAGATACTAGCAATTTTCATTAACTTCCAAAACAGAGTATTTCCGGTCACATTAATAAACTTCACTATTTCACTAAAATACTGACCTGATATTATTTACACAGTCTTCATGAGCTTCAGAAAGTGTTTTTATGTGCTTTGAAGATATAGGGTCAAAAAGCAGAACTTCAGTCTGTTCACAAGCAACAGTCAACACTGACCTGAAAGCAAATGACACATTTCTCTTTAGCTTTCTAGCATTCTCTCATTATTGACACTTATTTATAATCATACAAACTATAATGAATAACTTTTTTACCCATGTTAGTAGCAAGTATTTTTTATTTTTAAAGTTTTATCTCTTTTGGGGGAGGAAGGGCAGAGAGAGAGGATGGAAAGAGAATCCCAAGTAGGTTCCACGTTCAGCACAAAGCCTGACATGGGGCTTGATCTCATCATTGTGAGATCTTGACCTGAGCTGAAATCAAGAGTCAGATGCTTAGCCTACTGAGCCACCCAGACACCCCAGTAGCAAATATTTAAAAGACTGAAATTATCTGCTGTTGGCAATAGTAGGAAACGGTAATCTCCAACATTATGGTGGAGCATAAACTGGTAGTTTAGGTTCTGAGAGTACCTGTATCTATCAAACTTTTCTTTTAGCACCACATTCTAACCAGCTGAGCTAACCAGACAACCCTGTATCTATCAAACTTTTAAGTGTGCATGCCTTTTGACTCTGCAATTTTTTGTGGGAATTTAATCTGAAGAAACAATCATTTATATATAAAAGAAACATATATAAAGATATGCTTCATTGTAATGAGAAATTGAAAGTAAGCTAAAAGTACATGAAAAGAGGAATGATTGGTTCTATAAGCCATGGTACATAATAGTTTACAATATAGTGCAACATTTAAAAAGAAAGGAATAGTTTTATGTGGATATGCAAGAACTCCAAAACATATTTCTAAACAGGAAAATCTGGTTGTAGAAAAGGATGCAGAGATGAGGCAACTTAGAAAAAAAAATTATATATAACAAAATTATGTATTTATCAATACCTATTAAAACATACTGAAAGTTCTGGCATATATCCTACCATCCAGTTAGACAGAGTCAAACTTAATCTTTTCATTTATGGTTTTTAGTATTGTCTCTTGTTTCAGCCCTTTCTTATTACAAAGTTATCATAAACCTTTTATAAGCCTCATTTTGATTTCTGAAAAGCAAACTTTTTTTATTTGATTAACTCTTAGTTTCCTTTGGGCACTGCTCTTTCAGATTCAGACCTAGCAAATGAAATCTTAAGTCTCTGAAACTGCAGGCCTGTTCTCAATGTATAGTTCCAGTAATAAATAGAATTTGTATACTTCAGATGAAAATACATAAGATAAAATGTCTTTAATTTTTTTAAGTAATCTCTACACCCAACATGGGGCTTGAACTCATAATCCTGAGATCAAGAGCCACATGTTCTACCAACTAGGCCATCAGATGCCCCAAGATAGAATTTTAATTTAAAAATAATTTTTTTTATTTGAGAGAGAGAGCGAGCATGCGTGTGTGAGTAGGGAAGACGGACAAAGAACCTCAAGCAGGCTGCAGGCTCAGCACAGAGCCCAATGTGGGGCCTGATCCCACAATCCTGGGATCATAACCTGAGCCAAAATCAAGAATTGGACACTCAACTGACTGAGCCACCCAAGTGTACCCCCAAGAAAGAATTTTAAATAGCCCAAATTTTCTGTTTAGAACAAACTTTTTAGATAAAGTAGGACAGGGAAAAATCTAAATTGAAATCTTTTCCATATTTAGTAATCATGAAATTGTCTTTTAAAGGGTGTCTGCAGAAACCTCTTTTTAAAAAAAATTTTTTTGTAAATGTTTATTTTGAGACAGACCACAAGCAGGGGAGGGGCAGAGAGAGACAGAGGGAGACACAAAATCCAAAGCAGGCTCCAGATTCCGAGCTGTCAGCACAGAGCCTGATGCAGGGCTCAAACTCACAAGCCATGAGATCATGGCCCGAGTGGAAGTCAGATGCTCAACTGACTGAGCCATCTAGGCGCCCCTGCATAAACCCTTTTTGGAAATATCTGGACTTAAGAATTTTTCTACTAGTTGATCAGCATGAGTAAGAACAGTCAAATTGATATCTGTAATTTTAAAGCTAATATAAACAGCCTTTTTTTGTTGTTATTCAGAAGAGTTATGGAATGAACTTTACTCCTTTTTGTGCATAAAAGTAAATGAAACACTGATTCTTGAAGAGTCTTCATCTTAAACACTGTAAATAAGATATCTATAAAACTGATACTCAATGTTTTGTTTCAATACAATCTATTTTTACGCATGGCATGATTTGTAACTTTTTAAAATGCATATCATTTGCCCCAATATCAAAGCCTACACTTTTCTCATTGGTTTGAAATGTGATCTTTATCATGTATATATTTTGTTGCTGGATTCTATACACTATGTAACACCACCATATTACAATTTCTAAGTGGCTTTATATGTGGTAGAGCAAGATCTCCTCACTGCTTTTTTTAAAAATTTATTTATTTTGAGAGAGCAAGACAGCCTGTGCACAAGTGAAGGAGAAGCAGAGAGAGGGAGAGAATCAAAAGCAGGCTCTGTGATGACAGCTCACAAAATGTGAGATCATGACCTGAGCTGAAATCAACAATAGGACGCTTAACCAACTGAGCCACCCAGATGCCCCCTGCCCACCACTGCTTTATAAGCATTTCTTTGCTTCTTTGCAGGGGAGGTGGCTAATACTGTACTTTTTTCTTCCAAAGGAATTTTAGATACAACATGTCAGGTCCAACTAAAAAACCTTGTTAGTATTTTCACTGGGATGCACTGACTTTACAAATTCAGTGGAATCTGTATTATTCAGTACTGAATCATCCCATCAATAACACGTACACCTTCACACATATTCAAGATTTTCTTAGCAAGAGTATCTTAGCAATTCTTGGATCTTTAAACATCCTTATACATTTTAAATCAACTAATCAAGTTATGTATACACACTCAAGTCCAGCTATGGATTTTCAGACTATAATAAAACTATAGAAAAGTTTGCACAGAATTGAGAGCTTTACAACATGGAGTCTTTCAATCCACGAACACAGTATACTTCCATTTACCATGGAGATTTTTTCCATATGGCTCATACTTATCTTTTGTTAGATTTATTCATGGGTACAATTTATTTGTGGGTACTTGACATTTTTTTCATGCTTTTATATTCTTTTTAAAATTTTGGTTTGTTTGTTGTTGGTATACAGAAGTGCGACTGATTTTAAAATGATTTATCCATCAATCTTGCTATTTTAATACTTTACCTGTAGGTTACTTTAGGTTTTGTCGATAATCATATTGTCTACAAACAAATGTTTTATTCTTTTGTAATACTAGTGTCCTTGCTGCACTGGCTAGACCTTTCAGTTAAATGTTAAATAGAAATGTTACTATAGCAGGCACTCTCTCATTCCTGATCTTCAAAAATAGATTCACTGTTTCATCATTAGATACAATGTTTGCTATAGTTTTTGTTATATTTTTCTTTTGTGGGGGACAGATTTCTATTACTGGATTAAGAAATTTTCTTCTACTTCAAATTTGGTTTTTTCATTAAAACATGTTAAATTATATAAAACAAGTTTTCCAACATTTACTGAAATTATCCTGTTTTTCCTTCAATATGTTAATGTAGTGATTCACATTATTTTACTTTCTAAACCTTTCATTTCTACCATATTGCTTATTTAGCTCTATTGGCTAAAGCTGTGGGCCCACATTCCTGGCTTCTCTTCCTTTTATGGCTCTTAGCCCTGCAATTTACTTACTGCCTTAATTCTCTAATCCCTTCATATACAAATTTTTTATATCTTACATTAAAATTTTTATAATTTTTCTAGCTTTTCTAATTATTCCCTGTTGAAGGGTTGGGCCAAACCACCTACTCTACTTCTGGAAAGCTATAGTCTCTACCTCTTGCATCTGAAGTCATGTCACCCTTTCATTCTGAATATTGTTTACTTGGGCATTCTCTTAATCAACATGAACGTTTTTCATTTTTGTCTTTTCAAAGACAAGGTTTTCTCTCTGTTGAGTATTTCTACTGAATTTTATTTTATTTTTTAATGTTTTATTTATTTCTGACAGAGAGCGAGAGACAGCATGAGTAGGGGAGGGTCAGAGAGAGGGAGATACAGAATCTGAAACAGGTTCCAGGCTCTGAGCTAGCTGTCAGCACAGAGCCCGACCTGGGGCTCGAACCCACAAACCATGAGATCATGACCTGAGCCAAAGTCGGACACTTAACCGACTGAGCCACCCAGGCACCCTGATTTCTACTGAATTTTAAAAAGTTCACCAATTCCACTCTGTTCCTTTATTTCCTTCCTTCTCCTTTCTCTGCTTACTTTGCTATTATTTGCAGATAATTTCGCTGTTTTTTCTTGAGATAGACACTTAGCTCATTTTTACTTGTCTTTCTTTCCAGCTTATTAATGACTATTATTTTCCTAGTAAGTACTGTTTTACACTTACCTTACAAGTTTTGAGACATGTGGTACTTTCATTATCATTCAGTGCTAAATATTTCTAAAGTCCATTATCATTTCTTCTTTGGCCCATATGGCTATTTATGAATGTTTCTTCACTTGAAAACACATGAAGTTTTGGGGCGCCTGGGTGGCTTAGTCGGTTAAGCATCCGACTTTCGCTTAGGTCATGATCTCACGGTTCGTGGGTTCGAGCCCCGCGTCGGGCTCTGTGCTGCCAGCTCAGTGCCTGGAGCCTGTTTCAGAGTCTGTGTCTCCCTCTCTCTCTGACCCTCCCCTGCTCACGCTGTCTCTCTCTCTCTCTCTCCGAGAAATAAAAAATAAAAACATTAAAAAAAAAAAAACATGAAGTTTTTCTAGTTATCTTTTTGTTATTCATTTCTATTGATCACACTGTGCTGATATACTGTACTTCTATAATAATCTTTTGAAATGTGGCCTTGTAAGTGAATATTTTGTAAATCTTTGTGTGTTTGGAAAAAAAAAACCAGGAGTCAGCTGTTACATATAGTCAAGTGTGATATTAAAAAATGTTAAATATTTAATAGTAATATAAATTAACATGAGTAAAAATTTGTAAACATTTAAAAAATAAACTAACTTATAAATTATAAAAATGCTTTCCAGGTGATAATTCT